CTTCCAGAGAGGGATCGTTAGCAACCAGCAGAACAAGCATTCTCCCACCAACCTCTAGAAGCTACTTTTTAGCCTCCCTTGTCCGGTTGGCAACGCACGAGCTGTGCAATTCTGCAAAGGGGGAACTGGTTTTGGAAACAGATATTTCAAGCCGAGGTGGCTCAGAGCGAAACACAGCGAAGCAAGCACTGTTTGCAAAGATGTTATTGAGCTGAGCTGGGGAAGGGCTGTTCCCACGGGCACTGACATTGCAGTGCACTGAGGAGGAGAGCTGGTTGGCACTTCCTAGGGATGTGGCCATGCGGGACCAGCGCCTAAGTCAGGCCACTTTATGCTTTAAAGTGGCAGGGTGACTGGGTCCTCTAACTCCTGAGGTTGCAGGGGCTATGGGGACGCCCCCTGAAGTGATCGTGTGCTCATGCCCTTCCCTCCTTCATCAAGCAAAACAGAGGGAAGCCAAGGTGGCCCGGGAGGGGTCACACCGGAAGTCCAGCTCCCAGGTCTGGGTGGAAGGAAAGCCAAGAACAGAAAGAGACTCTTGCCCTAGAGCCCAGCAAGATCCAAGCCAGGAGAGGAAAATTGATCTTAGGCAAGAGAGTGCTCATTCAAATGTTCTTTTCAGCCGGGTATGGTGGCTCACGCCTGTAATCCCAGCCCTCTGGGAGGCTGATGGTCACGAGTTCGAGGCCAGCCTGGGCTACATAGAGCGACTCTGTTTCAAAACACTAAAATAAATTAAATTAAAAATAAGTTTCTCTTTAAGGTCCAAGGCGCATCTAGCCCAGTCACTAACTGATAAGAGATGGCCCCAAAACCCCGGCTGACAAGCTTTCCCACCACTCCTTCCACAGCCTGGGGCGGGTGGGGTGATGGCGGCGGCTAAGGGTACCGGTCCTCTCGCTGCCCCTGGGTTTCCAACCGACTCTTGCCCTCTGCCGATCTGACTTCTAGCGGGATTTGGTGCCAGCGGCCAGGGAGAGGCATAAGAGTCCCAACGCCGTGCGGGAAGGTCGCAGCGAGCACCCAGCGGTCGGGGAGCAGCGGGTCGCCTGCCTCGAGACCAGGGCTGCCGTGCAGGAGCGGCGTCCGGACTCCGCTGACAACCACCGCTTCCACCCACTCGGGACGTGGCGGCGATTTTTTTTTTTTTTTTTGCATTGACAGCGGACAGGTTGAGAGTTTGTTTTAACGCCGAATTCTCCACTAACAAAATCCTTTCGAAAGAAAAGGTAAGTAGTTTCCCACCACCAGAGTGCGGATTGGGCAAAGAGTTGAGCAACCCGACAAAGCCGCGGCGCGGGGGAGTGCGCGCAGGGTCCCGGGGGCGCCCGGCACTCGGGCAAGTGTAGGGAGCAGGCGGGGCCGAGGGGACCACGGTGACACCCACCCTCACCACCCCCAGTACATTTCACTGCCGATTTAGCAGAAATGGTCAAAAAGAAGAGTAAAGCGAGACTCTGGTCCACCGGGAGCCGGAGGACCGGCCCGGCTGGGCGAGGCCAGAGCGCAGGAGCGCGGGGACGCGAGCCGGGCCGAGCTTAGACGCTCCGGGCCGCGCCGAGTTCACTTGGGGGGGGGGGCGGGATTGTTTTTGGCGCCTAGGAAACCCTGGGAAGCTGCCGGGTACTTCCCCTCCACCTCCCTCCGGTGTTTGGTAAATATTAACAAACCCCGGCGCGCTTTCTGGAGTGTGGATGGGGTGCAGGCGGGGTGGGGACCTCGGGCCGCGCCCGGAGCCCCCGCCCCCAGCCCGGCTCTTCGCGCGCACACACCTGCTTGACAACAGAAGGAATCAAAATCAATATTGTATTTGTCACCCCCTCGGTCTCCTTTTTACTCCCTCAGCAGCCCGGGTGCCACTGAAGCGAATTGTGGATTTATGGAGGGAAATTAGCATAAATTATTACGAAATCTGTAGCCGTGTGTGGTCCAGCTTGTGGGAAAAGAGGCTATTGCGAACTCTCCAAGCAGAAAGGTGTTCGGTGGCGAGCTGCGCGGAGGCGATGAATGGCTATTGCACGGAGGAGATTTCCATTTGGCTCGCACATGGGTATAATTGACTTATGTGTATTTTATACAGTTTTCCCAACAACTCCCTAAGCCTCCGGGTCGGATGTGCCCCCTCCGTCTCTGTTTGCGTTGGGTTCTGTACAATAGACTCTGGTGCGCTTTTCAAGATTTCTAGAAAGTGCTTGCTTTTCCCTCCTCCTCTTTATAAGACCAGTCTTAAAATGCTGTAAATAGCAAGCAAAGCCTCCCTCCCCTCCCTTTGGCACCGTAGACCTCCCGCAGGCACCCAGACGTACCTCTGTAGCAAAGCACTGTTTTAAATGGGCATTTCACAACTTCCCGCGCCTGGCAAGGCTCATTTGTGCTTTGGCTACGGATTCTCTTACTTAATCCTGGGCTAGGGCAGCGTGGCTCAATTCCTAGTCTTCCAGTAGCTAAGGTCTGAGGGATCTTCCTATGTGTGTCTTTGGAAGTCCCAAATCTAGTGGTGACAATTTACTCGGGAAGATGGACAAAGATTTATTCCAACTTTGTGTGTGTGCGCGTGTTTTAACTCGAACGTTTCCACTCTTAGATTTGAGTTAATCTCCTGTTTACTCTGAGCAATGGTTTCAACAACAGTACAATGGTCCTTTGCAAGGGCAACAAAATGTCAGTGGTTAAACTGAGAGGTCACTGTCCTCTCCAGATTCCCCTTTCCCAATCTGAACCCAGACCCGGTGGTAGGAAAGAACCTTCTTGGCCGTCACTGGTGCTTTTTCATTCCCAAGCGCATCAGCTCCAATCCGACCACCCTAAGCATATCACCCGTCTTTAGGCTTCCGTAGGAGCTTGCTGAAAGAATGCCCCCAAGTCCCCCGGGTCCTCCGACTGCTGCCTTTTCACCCAGGAGCTCTATTGCCTTCACCCTCAAAACCTCCGCTTTGCCCCTCCGAGGCCAGGTGCAGTCTAGTGCAAGAAAGACTCGGACCAGCACCTTTGCGTCCTGGAAGACACAGGCCTTCCTGCAATTCCTCCTCACCTCTGTGGGCTCCCCAGGTCCTTCCATCCCCGGACCCTCCGCCAAAAGCGGCCCGCCAAACCGCCCGCCGCCCACCGCACCTCCTTACGGCTGAAGCCCGCGCGCTCACCTAGGCCGGCAAGGCCGCTGCGGCCCAGTTCTGCCGCGGTCCCGCGCTAGCCCTGGCTGGTCAGTTCTTCTGAGGAAGGCGACACAGGTATCAGCAGGGCTCCAGCAGGGCCCCCAGGGGCGGGTCAAAGCCCCACCCCCACCTCCTCGCACCCACCCCTTCCACCCGGTTATATTTTTCGAATTAAGAAGGGGACGTTACGCTTTTCTTCGAGCACTTCTGTTAATATTGAAAAACGTGCGCCTGCATCTCAAGCAAGGCAACCCGGACTGGAGACCCATTTCAATATTAATGAAATTGTTTAATCTCCTAAATTCATCGTGTGTAAGTTACGTTTTGGTGAGTTACTGACCACTTCCACAACCCCGCGCGGAAAGATCTTTCTTTTTTTTTTTTTTTTTTTCTCGCTAACCCCAAACAACTCCATAACGAGACTCTTAACAGCGCTTAAAGCCTCGAAAGGAAACGTCACACCCAGAACTCTGCCACCACCTCCCGGGGGCGGGGGAACTCTCACATTTCCGGACTCTGAAGGTGACTCCATAGACAGTGAATGTTAAACAACGCGGTAAAACGAATTTATCTTCAAAACGGTAGAGGTCGGAGCGTGTGCAGAGCGCGTGGGAACCTCTGGCGCCCACTCGCAGGCGGCGTGCGCGCAGGCGGCGCCGACGCCCTATTTCATAGCGGTGTGGTGGCGATGACGCCGCGACGATGGTGATGACAATAATGATGATAATCATGATTCATTTAACCCTCCCGAGGCAAATCCGAACCGAAAGGAGCCTGCTAGAAGCACAGGGGTGGGGGTGGGCGGAATGACCCAAGGCACAGCCCTCAGTAACACACACACACGCACACACACGCACACACACACACACACACACACACACACTGCTGTTCTAATGGATTGCAGGTAGCTCTCGCTGGCCTAAGCTCTAAATAAATTCCTACTGTATCAGGAGAGAAAGTGGGGGGGGGGGCTGTAAAATGCAAAGTCGCACACTTCCCGGAAATGCCTGCGCCCCAAAGTTCCAGAGCTCCCCGGGAAAGCGGGAGCCCCGCAGCTCCAGGGGACGACCTCCCAGGTCCCCACGCCCTAGCCCCAGCGCCCCCACTGTGCCGTCCAAACTGCCCGGAGACTTTCAAGGCAGAGACCTTGCCACTTGGCCCAAATACACCATCTTTTTCTCTTTTTTTTAATGTGGTCAATACATTTAAAACGGGCTCTTAAGTGGGGGTGTTTCCTTGCATGTTCCTTGTTTTAAAACCTCATTTCTCTCTCTCTCTCTCTCTCTCTCTCTCTCTCTCTCTCTCTCTCTCTCAAGCTACTCGCCCACAAGCTGTGCAGCGCTAAGGCAGCGGCTCAGGAAGGCCGAATCAGACTCAGGCCTGCTCTTAGAGGACCCGGGAAGGGGAGGTTTCCATCGCAGCAACCCGAGCAGCCAACCCCCGGGAAAGCCCACAGAAGCCGTGCCTGACGCCGGTTAACAATACAAACCGGATACCGCGTGGAGGAAACAGAATACCCCAGCCAGGCACTTTCCGTGTCACGCATCATCTGCGCGGCGGCTCCGTCCGTGCGCGTGTGGTCGCCGGGTCCCCGCTCCGCTCGCCGGGCTCCTCGCACCTCGGCTCCGCTCGCCCCGGCCGGCGCGCCGCTCCCGGCAGTGGGCCCGGCTCTTCCCTCGCGCCCGGGCTGGAGCTGGAAGCGATTCCTATTGGCCAAGGTGTCCCTGTAAGTAGGTGTGAAAGAAACCGGAGCGGGCCGGGCCCTCTCGGCGCGCAGTCCCTCCCTCTCAGGCCCCGCTCCCCGCCTCCCTCCCTCCTCCTCCTCCTCCTCCTCCTCCTCCTCCTCCCAAGGCGATTGTCATATGATAGCTAAGAAGTGGCACATTAATGAAGCGCCGCTACAGGGGTCTTTTCTGCTCCTGTCACCGCTTAAAACTATCAGATGGTGCGAGGGAGGACGTGGAGGCAGCCGCCTAGCGCAGCGCAGCCGCGGAGCCCGCAGCAGCGCCCTCCCGAGTCCCTAAGCCGCCGCTGCCCGCGTCCGCGCCCGGACGCTGCAGCCCAGCTCGACCGCCCGCGGGACGCACGGCCCGGACCCGGTGGCACAGAGCGCTGCGGGGCTGATCTCTGCACTCCAGGTCGGCGTGCAGTCGGTCCCGACCCGGACGCCGCTGCGCTGGGGCGGTGTGCCGAGGGCGACGCAGAGACCCGGGGGGCCATCCGGATGCGGACGAGCAACTCGCAGCAACTTTAAGGTGAGCGGCGTCGGCTCAGCCCCCGCCCCAGCCTTCGCTCCGGGGCCCGCAGACTTTCCCGCTGCCTTTGTGCCCCTCTCCCGCTTCCCTCCCGCCTGCCCCGGCGGGGTCCAGCTCCCGGCGCAAAGTTGCAGCCTGCGGGCGCGGGCGCCTCCCCCAGCCCTGAAACCCGGTGCTCGGCCGGGCTGCCCCGCGGGGTCTCCGCCGCACCCACGTCACCCTCCCTGCTGCCCCCTCCCCAGATCCGACCAGCCTGCCGGACCCGGAGCGCGGAGAGGCCGAACGCGAAGATGCCTCGGCCGGGCCGCAACACGTACAGCGACCAGAAGCCGCCCTACTCGTACATCTCGCTGACCGCCATGGCCATCCAGAGCTCGCCCGAGAAGATGCTGCCGCTGAGCGAGATCTACAAGTTCATCATGGACCGCTTCCCCTACTACCGGGAGAACACGCAGCGCTGGCAGAACAGCCTGCGCCACAATCTCTCCTTCAACGACTGCTTCATCAAGATCCCACGGCGGCCGGACCAGCCCGGCAAGGGCAGCTTCTGGGCGCTGCACCCCAGCTGCGGGGACATGTTCGAGAACGGCAGCTTCCTGAGGCGACGCAAGCGCTTCAAGGTGCTCAAGTCCGACCACCTGGCGCCCAGCAAGCCGGCCGATGCGGCACAGTACCTGCAGCAGCAGGCCAAGCTGCGGCTCAGCGCGCTCGCCGCCTCGGGCACACACCTGCCACAGATGCCCGCGGCCGCCTACAACCTGGGCGGCGTGGCGCAGCCCTCGGGCTTCAAGCACCCATTCGCCATCGAGAACATCATCGCGCGGGAGTACAAGATGCCCGGGGGCCTGGCCTTCTCCGCCATGCAGCCGGTGCCCGCGGCCTACCCGCTCCCCAACCAGTTGACTAGCGTGGGCAGCTCGCTGGGCGCGGGCTGGCCGCACGTGTACGGCTCGGCCGGCATGATCGACTCTGCCACCCCGATCTCCATGGCGAGCGGTGACTACGGCGCCTACGGGGTGCCGCTGAAGCCGCTGTGCCACGCGGCGGGCCAGACGCTGCCCGCCATCCCCGTGCCCATCAAGCCCGCGCCAGCTGCGGTGCCCGCGCTGCCCGCGCTGCCCGCGCCCATCCCCGCCCTGCTCTCGAACTCGCCGCCCTCGCTCAGCCCCACGTCCTCGCAGACCGCCACCAGCCAAAGCAGCCCCGCGACGCCCAGCGAGACGCTCACCAGCCCGGCCTCGGCGCTGCTGTCCGTGGCTGTGCACTGACCTGCGGGAGCCGCGCCCACGTCGCCTCCCGGCCGGGTGCGCTCCCGCCCAGCTCGCACCGCCCTCCGCCACCGGGGCTGCCGCCCTGAGTGTGGCATCCGCCTCCAGCCGACCTTCTCTTTTCCGAAACTGTTTTTGTTGTGATTGCTTTGTTTGGGACCCAACGAGACAAAATTCAAACTTTCCCGAGGCACGCGGGGGTTGGCCCCCACAACCCGGAGATCCAGGGCCACCTGAGCCCGCCAGCCTCCACCCGCAGGCGGGACCCACGCGCTCCGGACTCTGCACAGTTATGACCCTGGAGGACCTTCCCCCAGGGGTTCCCGGAGCAGCGCCCCGGGGCGGCAGCCTCGCCGCGCAGGACTCGGCTCCTGGGGCCTGGAGGGCCTGCGGCCGGAGGAGCCACCCGGCTGCCCACCCGCACCGCGCCTCCCGGCTGCGGCCCAGCTCGCAGGCTTCGGCCGAGAGCTTTCTTGTTTTGTTTTGGGTTTTGCTTTCTGCGGTGCGCTCCAGGCGCGCGAGTTAGGAGAGAGGCTGCTGACCTGAGAGAGGGGGACCTTGGTCCTCATCGGGAGCAAAATAAATCTAAAAGTAACCTTGTGTTGTTTACAAAGCGCCCGGTAAGATGTAAACAGTGAACTTGACTCGGTCTTGGTAGGCGGGCGAGGGAGCACAGCCCACTTCACAAGTACCTGTTGTAATGTGAATGTTTACTCTTCATGTCTGGCCAGGTTGATGGGAGGGCTGGGGGGGGGCAGCTAATTGGGAGGTTCACTTTCTTATTGCTTAGAGACTTTCTTAGCTATTTATTTTATGGAAGAAGAAAAAGAAGGTCTTAAGAAGGAAAGAAGAAAGAAAGATGAGATAAGCCCAGAGCAAGCAGGCACCAAGGGCAAGCCTGAAGAGGTCGGATGAGCCTCCGGTACCGGAAGAGGGTGGCAACAGACAGTTTCCCCTGGACAAGTCTTTCTGTTAAAGGAACTTCTCCGTGAAGCTAAAAGGGCTGCAAAGAGATGTAAATACTTGTGAATAGGAATGATTAAACACTGTGTAAAATGCACTTTGTTTGCTATATTCCTTTAGACACTTAGGTAATTTGCTGGAAAACAAACTGTTGTTCTGGTGTGACCTGCTTAAGTTAAAAAACAAAACAAATGTAGTTATCATCGAAGGTGTAAAAGCGTTACCTTTCCTCTCTCTTCCTCCCTGTACAGAACTAGCATGGCGTTTTAAATATTGATGATCTTGTTCCCCAGCATGCCTGTTTCCAGACAAAGAATTTTAAAAAGGTGTCTCCATTAAATTATGACCTAGTCGAAATAATATTTTCTCATTAAAATATGTAAATTCCAATTTCAGTTTTGTGTGTTTTTGAAGAGTTGCTGCAGAGGACAACTTTACAAAAGTTGGATGAGCGCTTCCCTGAGGGTACTGGCTGCACTCTGAGTACTTTCGCTTTCTTCCATCATACTGGGAGTCCAGTTTCTTCGAGTGTGAACCTGCAGAATGGCAGGAAGACTATTCAGATGGACTCTTGGACATATCTGTGCGCAGGGGAAGAGGAAGCAAAGTATTTCTATTATGAATCAGATGCACAGGTGTAGTGCTAAAAAGTTGTTATGAAAAAATATAGTACTTTATATGTATTTTTGCCTATCTGAAAATATACACATTATGAAATATGCAGCACTTATATAATTATAAGGTTTGTGTAGAAATCAGGTAGAAGAAGATTTAAAAAGTAAAAACAGACTTGCTTACTCAATACTCTGATGCATCTTATTTGGAGGGAAAATTCATTTTCTTGGTCCTTGAAAGGACTGCAGTTGTTGAAATTTTCGTGTTCAAGAAACGATATCATAGTTCGCCTTCCATGCCAAGAAACCAGCCTGCTCACTTTGAATGGGATCGATTTCTTTCACTCCCTCATGTGTGAAAATAATACTTGATTTATTTACTCTGAGGATTCAAATGAAGTTTATTTAAATGCCTGTTTGTAAGTACTTGCTTCCCTTCAGACTTTTTGCAGAGAATTAAAATTTGCCAAGAATTTATGGTTGAAGACTAAGTGACACTTTATTGAAGGGGTCATAGGATTTCCAAAGCGAGGTGTGTATTCAGCTAATGAAGTTACAAGACAAAGAGAAACTTCTATGGTGATTAACACCTCACTGTGTAAAATGATTAAACAAGGGAACCTTGTGAAACACCAAGGAGGCACCGAGAAAGCTTGGTCCATTCCTTGCAGTCCGTATGGGAAGCCTTAGTGCCTGTGACTATTATACACTTAGTGGGTTACCTGGAAAACAATTTAGGACTAATACAGGGGGTAATTAATCCATTGTGGCCGTTTGTTTTTGAAGGAAGGATCCCACACACAGCCCAAAGGGGAAAAATAAATGAATCATTGGACTGATTAAAATGCATGAAGCTTCTAAAGCTCGGCAGACAGGAGACAAATAAACTCATTCATCAAGCCCAACTCACAATTATATCAACAAGATCGGCCAAAGAAGGCCTGAAAAACTTAGCCACCCTGGCTGGGCCAGGAAACTCTGGAAACTCAGTTCTCTACAAGAAATAAAGGTCGAAGCCATTGTCACAGTTACCTGCAACATAAAATTAAGACCCTCTCTGGCGTATTCCAGTCTCATCTAGCTTAGTTACACTGAATTTGAGCTGGAAGGATAAAGGGCTACACTGGGCCTGGAACAGTTTAGAAGCCATCCTTTTAGATAGTCAGATAAGTTCTTCCTCCCTGAATAGGGCCAGAATTCAGAGGAAAGAGCTGTGAACATAGACACGTTTAATACATAAAGGCAGATAAGGGACAGACTCTGTGTCCGATTTTTAGCAAAGGAGAAACTGCAATCCAGTGTCTGAAAGTGCTCCTCTCAGCTGCTGAGTTTGTCATGGTGTGCCGCGGAGAATGGGGTAGAGAAGGGCCTTGCGCACTTGCTTTTCCCTGCTGCAGGCATCTTTTCTCCAGACAAGTTGAATGAGGAAAGTGAAAAGAAAACAAACCCAAACACACACTCAGTGATGGTATTTTGACCTGGATCAGAAATCCACAGCCAGCCCAAACACACAAGCCCCTAGTCACCCCATCTGGACTTCACCAGCCCCCCCCTGCCAACTTTGAGATTTGTGCCCCTTCTGTTTGAAGTGTCCCCCAAGTAAGGAAGTTTAGAACTATGATACCATCAATGGTTCTCTTTGTCATGTTAAAATCTTTTCACCTGGCTCAAGTCCAAAGTCAACACACACAGCTTTAAAATAAAACTGGAGAAGACAGTACAGTGCGATGAGAAGGTGTGTGTGCGTGCACATGCACACCGGCCAAGATAAGGTATATTATTTTCTGTTCATAAATGTGAGCAGTACTGTTTTTTAATTTACATTTGGACTTGGCAGCTTGGTTGGTTATGCTGGCTCTTTTGGTGTTTCTTCAATGGCCCTGTGTTTAATTATAATTTAAAAGTTCTTCTTCCTGTGACTTGAGGAAATGCCTGGACGATGGATGGATATGGTACACTTTCTGGAGAGGCAGCTATAAAAGTTCTGCCTGCTCCTCCTGGCTGACATGGGAGCTTTGAGAAGCGTGAGGACTCAACGCTGGTGAGTCCTGCGTAGCTCACTAGTAGAGGGACTTCACCATGATGGCCGTGAGCTTAATACCTCTACATGGTCAGAGCACCAAGTGTCCTGGAAGAATGAACCCAGTTTGGAGCTCAAGCAGCTGAAGTGAGGGGAGGGCAAGGGAGAAGGAGGCAGGCCGCGTTTTGCAACGCTGACCCCAGGTACAAGGGGCAGGAACCATTTCTACTTTTACAACTGAGAACTCCTTTTGTCAGAGGAATCCTGTCAGGAACCTGAAAAGCTAGGGATCTGTTCTGAAATTCGGAACATGTTATAAACGTCCATTAATTTTGCTTTTCTTCCAAAAGCCACGTAGGCACAGAGACACCCAGACAAAAACAAAGCAAAAACAACCCAACCCACCGGCTGAGAAGCCTCAAAGGGGCTGCATTTGTTTCGTTTAAACTAACAACAAATTATCTAATTAATATGTTTCAATTACAGCATGAAAGAGACAGCCCCTGGACCGCCCGCCGCGGGGGCACAATAGCCCCAGAGCCCACTCTAGGAATTTACAATAACTTCACATCTGTTTCTTTATTTCCCGCTTCTTGAGTCTAAAACTTCTCTCCGAATCACTTCAAATCATGGCCTGCGTTATGAAATATGGCGCAGTGTTAGAGGGGGACGCAACTTGGCCCACGGACGCTTCATTTGCAAGCAAAAAAGTGAAAGCCCATTGAAGAGCATTAAACAAATATATTAGAATTCTGTCACTTTATGCAATTGAGTAGATCAAATGAAGGGTCCAGGCCACTTCATTCACTCTCATTCACTCGAATAGAAAATGCAAAGAATAGCAACCCAACACTGGGCCACCGATGTAGATTTAGCTCCTTTTTACCAGGAGACAAAAAGGCTGAATTTTCACAAACACATTGCTGACTCGGGGGCTAGGAAACCAGCGTTGGAACCCCTTTGGAATTTAAATTCATTTTCTCTTCCTCTCTCTTTGCAGGGATCTGTTTGCACTAAGCGCCCAGTGCAGGCTTCCCCTGGCTTCTGAGAGGGGGGAGGGGAGCAGGGGGGCACGCTCATGGGACTTGGGATTCCCAAGGAGCTCTTGGTGAGGAACGGACACAGGTCTGGGACAATAGTTTGATTAAGCAAATCTTCATCTACAGCAATGGAAACATTAACACACTGCCCACACCACCCTGTCTGCTGCCTCCACGCTGGCCTGGTTTCCATCCGCAGCTTGTTTTGCAAGAGCAGAATCCCAGCTGTGCTGCCTGGTTCCCTCCTTTCCACTCATAGTGCACGGCCTCCCAGCAGCAGCCTTAGAAGCAGAGCCTCCAGCCCCACCTGCGCTGCTCTCCTGTCTTCTCTGGCTTCTCACCAAGGGAAACTTTTTCTCTCACACACACTCCAGTATCTGAGCAGAGC